CTGGGGCCCTCGCCGAGAGGGTTGGCGGCCCGCCGCATCTCAGGCCCTCTGCTCCTAGTTAAGCAGAGGTGGTGTCTGCAGCCTGTGACAGCCGCTCTCTCAGGGCCCGCGAAACTTTTGTTAATAACAAAGGCCCGGCGCGTTGGGCCCTGCAGGGCGCGTGCTATGGAGTCCCGCAAAGGCAGCAGACCCTCCTAGGTTACTCAGTCCCTCAGGACAGCTCGGCTCCTCTTTTGCACCCTGGTCTGAGTCTTTCTAGAACTTACTTTTTTTTTTTTTTTTTAATTAAATCTCCAAACTCCGAGGCATTTGTCAGTACAGGTGTGGCTTTAAGGGGCAAGATCAAGGAGGAGAAAGGCCCGGAAGTAAGAGACTAAAGGCTATTACAAGAGGAAGCAATAGAAAACTGGAGAAAAGGCAAGGAGTTAAAGGAACCTTAGGGATCGCAGCTAGAAAGGGCTGGGCTGGTCACCCAGAGGCCGGGGGGCTGACCACGGGCAGCAGAAGGAAATAGTGGAGGACAGTTGAGCAGGAGCACAGTGGAAAGGTTGGAGAGCATTTCCCACTGTAGAGGAAAGTTCGGAACGCGGGGAGGGAAATGGCAGGCTTAGGGACCCCCGGATTGTGGGTGCTGTGGAGAAACAATAAGCAGAGGGCAGACACCAGGGCTCCACACAGCCACCTGGGCTATTCAGGAGCCAGACTTGCAGGCTGAACAGGAAAGCGTTCTCAGTCCCGCCTCTCCAGACTGCAGATGGCCTGGAAGTCACAGCTGTGGGGCAGAGAGGCTCTCACTTGCTCGGGAAAGAGACCCAGCTGTTCGGACCCATCCTAGGATTCCTCTGAGGTGTAGTCCCTGCTGCTCTTCAGGAGTGAGGCTCTTCCGGCTGTGATTTGCCTCTGGTTAGCTGAATCCTTGCACTTCCTGGACGGAACAGTTACAGAACAACGAAGGTAGATACAGTAATGAGGAACGGGGAGATAATATATACCTTTTGCTATCAGGAATGTGACCAAAGAGATGGAGAGAGGGAAAAGGACTTAAAATAATTAAGATGTGTTCTGTACTTATCCCAACTCCCCACAATGCATATAACCATTGTGTACTGCGAACATGTATTCATTAAAATTAACAAAAAATTTTTAAAGAATGTCAAAGGTAGAAATGTAAACTAGTATAACCACTATAGAAATTACTATGGAGATTTTCTTTTGTTCCAAGCCACTTAGATTCAGCATTGCAAAATAGAACTTTGAAAGTTAGATTTTTTTCTTGTAGAAATACACAATTTCCCCAAACTTCCTCCTTTTGAGCATGTGTCCAACACCTCCTCATCTCAACTCAGAAAAAGTGACAGAATATGTAAGTGTTGGCCCCAAGAGGCAGGAGCCCAGTTTCCTCTGCACAAGAAAGGCATCCATTGGCCAGTGCCAGCCTGGCAAGCGTGAGGCCCTGAGTTCGATTTCCAAGAAAGGGACCCATGAGCTGATGATGGCGGGAAATGATAAAGCAAGCATGGAGATCCTCACTGTCTCTCTGTGCTCCCCTTCCTTCTGTTCCTTGCTATAAAGACTCTAACCCACCTGTGCATGGGCACATGGTCACGTGAAGCAAGTAGGCCTTTCCATCTCTGTGGAACTGGCTTTGAATAAATCTTTTCACTTTTCTACCAAAAAAAAAAAAATGGCCTACTTTGATTTGGTCAGCAGTGAGCAAACAATGGTGATTGTATGACCCTAGGTGGCTGGCAGTTGGACCCACCTGGACTTTTGGTCCTATATTCCCAAATGAGTTAAAAACATCACATTGTATTGGTACATGCATGCCACATACCCACGTTTATAGCAGCACAACACTGCACACAATAGCTAAGCCCTGACTGCAGGCTGGTTGCCCATCAGCAGATGAATGGATGAAAGCAGTGTTGTAATGTACAGAATGGAGTAAGGAGAGTAAGGCCTGCCATCTGCAGGAATGGAACTTGAGACCATACACTAAGTGAAATAAGACAGACGCAGAAAGTTAGGTAACACGTGGTTCTCTTATATGAGAAACCTCAAACAAATTAAGAATTAAACAAAGGATAAATGGTAGGCAACAAAAAGACAGGCTTGTTGGAAATGGAAAAGAAAATGTGTAGGGCGGAGGCTGAGAAGAGGAGTAAAGGGACCCGAAATGACCATGACATGTTATATCCACATACTAGTTTCCCCAAACTATCGTAACTCTGATGTTCCAAACATACTCTAATTTTAAAAAAAAAAAAGTTTTTTAAACTTCAAAGGGTGGTTGTCAGCCAGGAAAAATCCCCCAGAACACTGATAATAGGCACCCATTAGTCTGTACCCATGACCTGACAAGCCTTGCAGTGGGGACTGAATCTAGGGCCTTTTGCCCTGAGCTATAACCCCGCGCGCACGTGTGCGTGCGCACACACACACACACACACACACACTTTTAAAAACAGGGTCCCCCTAAGTCACTAAGATGTTAAGGTTGGGCTTGAACTTGCAATCTTCCTGCTTCAGCCTCTCAGAAAGCTGAGATTACAGGCATTTTCACCAAGCCTGGCTTTATAACAGCTGTCTCGCTGTGCACCTGTGTGTACCTCAGATTCTCCTTCAAGATGGCAGCAGTGCTCACTGCATTGAGTTGTCATGAGGTTAAATGAGACAACACAGGCAATGTGCTTAGGCTAATCCCTGGCATGTAGTAATGTTGTGGGGCAGGGTTCAATGACTTTCCTTAAAGTGGAGACAGGAACATTGAATTATTGCACCTAAGGGCCATTTCAGGTTGGCTGACTTCCATACGCACAAAAAGAATTTTCAAAACAAGTCAGGAAGCATGGGCCCAGAGCACAGTTTACAGATTTTTTTGACTCTGAGGAATTTTCCCTGGAAGGGAAAAAGGCTTAATAGCTTTTGTGTCCTGAAGCTGCAGTTTTTCTTAAAAGTACTATTTAAAAATTGTCCTTGTCACAATGCAGCAATCAACACATCCAAGAGCCACTCCGGGAACACTTTCCTGTTGCCAGGCCCTGTAGTAACACTGGGTGACATTTGAGAGTTGACAGCTTGGGTCCCTGTGGCCATGGAACTGCTATATTGTTTAGATCTAGAATGTTCCTCGAAAGCCTTATGTGTCATGTGACTGGATCAGGGGGACCCAACGCTCATCAGTGGAGTAATCCAGGGAGGAATCCATGGGGGAACTTACTGTTAGGAGGAGAGCCTGGTCAGAAGAGGCAGGTCACCGGGACGTGACCCAGAAGGATGTGCTTCCCTCCCTGACTCTTCCCTTCTCTCTCAGCTTCCTGGCTGCCATGGCACGAGCAGATGTCCTCCACAAGTCCTTTCAGCCTTGCCCTTCCTGCCTCAGAACCACCCTACTATGGACTGAATCCTCTAAAAACCGTGAGCCAGAATGAACCTCTCCTTTGAGCTGGGGATGTTGGGTATTGTGTCCAGCGGTGAGAAAGTGAGTAAGACAGATTGCTGCCATGTATACAAGCTATCTGTACATTTTAGGTCCCCTTCGAAATCATAAATACCTCGATGGCAAGGACTGTGTCCTATAGGTAAATCTGAGTCCTATCCAATGTAGAAAGTAGGCATTGGTGTGCAGCATGTGTTAGCTGAATGAATGTTAGCCCAAATTGACACAGACTGTACAAAGTATTGCAATCATTCGTGGAACTCGGAACTAAGAGTTTTCCTCCTTTCCTTTCACCGTCTCCTTTCCACCCTTCTTGCCAGGTGCCTCCTTTCTGTATTTGTAACAATCTCTTCTTTTATCCTCTTATTTCTCCATTTTCTTCACTTTTATCTCCTCTTGCCACCTTCCCTCTTTTTTCCTTCTCTCTTGGCCCCATGATTCTTTCAGCCGGCATGATCTAGGACAGAAAATACAGTTTTTCTTAACTTTAAAACAAGTCAATAAGGATTCTTTATATGGCTCTAAAAAGACAGCACGTGGTTCTGCTACTTCCCTATGATGCCTTGATTATGTTTTCCCTATTTGGGGGCCAGGATCATTGGGAGAGCCCTGCTTTTCTCTCTCTGTTACCTAGAATTTACTGTGGGGAGAATGCCGCAGGGTCAACAGGCTGCCCTCTGCTGGGGCAGAGACACAGAAGACCAGTAATATTTGTACATATGTTCAAGCTTGCCCATACCCCTCTGCTGCCAGTGCTGAACGAGCTAAATATCTATTTATAGTTTACTAAAATTTTTACATTGTCATTTATTTATAATAATAGATATGAAACAAAAGACCTATATTTCAATGGATGTATTCCTTGGCTGCT